ATGGTAGACACCTAAGGGTCGGTTAACGATCCTACCCTGGGCTGTTGGGGGGCACGGGGAGAGGGCTGTTGGTCTTGTGCAGGGGTCTGTAGTGTTGGGGGTGGGCTTGTGTGTCCATTATTCAGGGTTCTGGGACTCAGGCTCCTATGATGTGTTTTTTTCCAGTGAGGAAAAGTAGCAAATTTTAAAGGCTTAGCATAAACCAAACTTGTGCACGCCTCCGCACTGTGAAAAACGTGACGGTAACTTCCATCTGCCGTATATCACAGCATTTGTAACTTTGAGGCTTGCTGCCAGGAGGAGTTGAAGTATCAATGCTGTTCTTCAAACAGCTAAAATGTTATCATTAACCTACTGCATTATGTGTCACATTAATGCTATGAATTAATGTTACCTGTATTTGGTAATATTTACTCAGATTTCAGGGAACAGGTACAACACCTTTGCTTGCACCCCGTGTGTGTGCAGAGGAGCCAAAGCCAGGCTGCTTCACGCCCTTGCACCCGCAGCTGCCTGCTGTGGTCTGTCCACCTGCAAAGCAGGGAGTGACTTGGGAACCTGGCTGGTTTGCAGAGCTGAGCATCTGTTTGTTAGAGGAGCAGTGTGGGAATGAATCCGTTGGAACTGGGCGCTGGGTAATTCCTGGTGCTAAAGTGCCATGTATGAGGGAAATTAATGTTCAGGAGGCAAGGTTTTTCCTGCCTGCTCCCGACTGAAAATGCAGCACTGCACTGTAGCACTTGCCACCAGTAAACACTCGGGAAATGGATTTGGATTTGGATCTGGACCTGAGCATAAGACAGGAGCTGGTGTTGTTTGGGAAAGGGCCGAGGACATGTGCCTGGAGTCCTGCTCTCATCCTGGTCTCTCCTGCTCCAGTTTGTTCATTGATCCTTTTCCTTTTGATGCTGATGTCAAAACTCATAGATATAATCAGGAGAAAAGTGATCCAGCAACACAAATACTACAAAAATACCTTGGACTAAAAAAAAGAGAGGGAACAGTTATTTTTTTGGAATAATATTGATTTCTTGAGTTTCCCAGGATGCCTCAGATGGCAGAGGAGAGCAGCTGTTATGTGCCTCCACTGTCAGCTTGCTCTCTGCAGTGCCAGCTTCTGTCTTTGTTTTGGCATCTCTAATCCCTCCTGCTGTCTGTGCTCATATCTTTTCCCTGTCCTCGTGAACACTGCACAGTCCAACTTGAGAAAGAAAAAAGTGATAGTCCTGCATCTTTTTACCAGCCCTGCCAGTCCTCTCATCTCTGACTCAGCCACCTCCTCCTTGGTAGCCTGAGGGCGACAGCTTTAGCCTGGCCAGGTTTCCCCCACCTTCCTTGGCCTGCTGCTTCCCATACCCCCATCTCCAGGGACCAAGCATCTCGGGACAGTAGGACTTGGGGAAATGCACAGTAGCATTTAAAACACCGATCAGATAGCCACTTCCCCCACCCTCAGTCCATTTCTCACCTCTGCTGTAACAACAAGTATTATTGGTGTGACTGTTTTTTTAACAGCTTATTGTAAGGTTACAATGTGTGGGCTGGGGTTTCCTTTCCTAGCAAAGCAAAGGGAGAGATGTTGGACAGTCTGGCTGATGCTGTGGGATGCTCACTGGAAGGGATCTGGGGGACTTTTGACCCAGGGCTATTGGAGGTCACAGGGACTTGGGGTCAGATCAGGGTGCTGGCAGCAAGCGCTGTTGGGTGTGCTGGTGCCATGGGCATTTTGGGGACACTGGAGGCGAGCAAGTGACCTTGAGATGGGTGGCTGGTGGGGCAGCGAGTGACCTGTGTTATGAAAAAGCCGGGTACGCGCAGCTTGGTGTTTGTCTCCTTCTTGGACAGCGGCACTTGGACGCAAGGCAGCACCAGGTCTTTGGGGGCTGAGTTAAATGCAGGTTTGATGTAAAAACAAAACAAACCAAAACAAACCCGACAAAAACACGGTAATTGTTGTAGGTGTCTAAAAAAGGTTGGCAAATACCTGGCCAGGAATAGGGGTATAATTTTGTCAGAGGTCAAGAGCAAAATACATCCCACGGTATCTGTGGCAGGGGTCGGGTAGGGAAGAAGAGGGAAAACATGTGCTGAAGGTGTGAGCGTGCGTGAGAGTGAGCGGCTTTACGATGCCGTTCTCGAGGCTGAGGGGCTGTGGGGAGAGCAGCGGGACCGGGGCAGCGCCAAGGCCTCTCTGCTTGGCGGGCAGGAGGACGGAAAAAAAAGAAGCTCGTCGCACTTGGCACACGGTACAGTCCTCACGGGGCAGACATGTGTGGTCCCCTGACTGGTAATGATGGGAGGAAGAGGCAGGAGATTGGGGAGGATGAAATTAAACAGGCATCCACAACAGCAGACTGACATGTCTGGTTTCACAAGATGCTGTCAAGCGGCGGTGGTGTCACAGCATGGGAGATGCTTTCTGGATGCTGTTGTCTGCAGATGATACATCCTGGGCAAATTCAGATGATCTGCAGTTTACAGAGCCCTGGCTCAGTACTGACCCTGCTCAAGTTCCCTTAAGTCGCTTATTTTGCAGCACCAGCATTTCCTGTGAATCCCTGTGAGCCTGCAGCCCTCGCCATATCCTCTGGGCTGTGCCTCCACCTCTGGGGCTTTGGATCCCTGCACCGAGGGGCCATTGCGGGTGGCTGTGGTTTGCCAGGGCGTTACAGCAGGGCAGGCCGGAAGCTGTTTGCCGCTGAAGGAGAACTGTGTTTCACAGGCTTCCCCTGGCACGGCAGCACCCCGGAACAGGGCTCTGCACTCTGAAGGCCTCTTTTTTCTACCCAGGGCAGCAGAAACACCTCCTTCCACCTGGGGAGGACATGCAAACACTCCTCACAGAGCATTAATGCTGTCATTTCCTTCCCCTGCAATAAAACACCCGTAGGCACCTTCTCGCTGGCCCCCTCACCCCATGGCCATGCCCGTTGTCCGTGGCTTGGCTGTGGGGAGAACCCAGCTTGCAGAGCAGAGACACACTGCCTGCTTCAAAGCGACCTATTTGCACTTGTGGCAGTGTTGCTCTTGTGTTTTATTAACAGAGAGGGGGTGTTGCAGGCATGGAGGATTTAGCAATGGCCAAATACAGTCAAGGAAGTTGCCTGCCTTCCACCCAGGCTGGGGCAGAGGGAAAAGCCGGGCGTATGGCTCGGGTGTGCTGGTCCTGTCCTAAACCGCGCAGGCAGAGAGGTGCAGTTGCACCGTGTCAGGGTGTGTGCATGTGTGCACACATGGAGGTTTGCAAACTCTCTGTCTCATATTACCCATGAGCAAGTAGGGGCTGTCTGCGCTGCTGGCTTACTGTGTTGTCTGGAGTGGATAACCCCTGCTGCAGCAAGAAACCCTGGGGTATATGCGGTGTGTGTCTGTGTATTCTCGTAGCTTGCACATGCATGTCCATACGCGTGTGCAGGTGTTGTTGCCCGTGTTTTCCAGAGCAGAGGTTTCATCCCCTGACTAGCAGATGGAAGAAGCGCTGGGGGTGCTACACTCCCTCTGTGCAGGGGGTGGGAGCCTCCCTGATCACCTCCATTTAGCAGTTCCTTTCTCTCTTGCACGAGTGCACGTGTGGGCATGAAAACAAGGCATGTCCTCTCCCTCTAGCATGGCGTTTTGTCCTGCTGCCCTGAAGCACAGGGGAAGGCTGAGTCCTGGCAGGAGAATGGTCCCATGTGGGTTTCAGCACCCTGGCCCGTGGCACCGGGCAAATGCTGCTCCCAAGTGCACGCGTTAGGAGGAAGCTGTCCCTGGGATGGGGTCTGGTGCGTGGCGTGGGCGACGCTGTAGTTGTTTGTGCGTGTCACGGCGGGAAGTGTGTGAACGGAATAAATTTAGCAGTCAAAACATAGGGCCGGCACAGTCGGTCATTAACTGCCAGCCCATCTCGTCATCCTGCAACCACAAGGAGCTTTTTTAGGGCCGGCGTCCCGGCGGAGGCTGGAGGAAGTGTGGGAGGCCAATTCCCGGCGGCAGCTCTGTGCGCGGCAGTGCTGTCTGCGGATGCCATTGGCTGCCCCGGCGCCGGACACTGGTTAAATGCCCACGCTGGTGCATCAGCCCAGGGCATCCCAGCACGGGCAGCCAGCTTGCCTCATCCCAAGCACCAGAGGAGACACCAGCTTGAGCCATACCTCAGGGTAAAGATTTTGGTTTCTTTGGGTTGCTTTGGTATTGCCTGGAGTGAAAATGGCAGTGTTTGGGGATGGGGGTTGTAGATTTCCTTGCAAGTTTTGGTAGAAAGCGGGAGAGACTTAGGTGGGACGTAGGTGTTGCTTTGTAAGGGAAGAAATCAGGAGCGTGGCTCTTTGGTCCAGCACGTTTTGGGTGCAGGGTGATGTGCAGTGCAGTTAGCATTCCTCGTGGGGGTGCGGTGCTGGGCTTCTTAAGGGACTAGGAAAATGAGAGCAGAGCTGGGGGAAATCCCCCCGCTGCTTTACCCGCCTGCACAGGCAGCAGTGCTGCTGGGATGCTGGACCGACCCCGCGGCCGCCGGAGAGGCAGCTCTCTGCGGGGCTATCTTACCAGAGTGCCCTGCTTTGGGGCAGTAGGGGGTTTTATGGGGCTGTGGGGACCACGCCGGGTGGGAAGTGCAGCTCTGCAGCCCACAGTCTCATGGTGCTGCCCATCAGCGGTGCCGGCACCTGTCACGGCCACCGAGCTCAGCGGGGTGGCAAGTGACCTTACCGTGGGAACAGGGAATTCCTGTTCACAGGAACAGGAGCTTTCCTGCTCTTTAATGATGCTTAGACACGGCCAGGTATCTCACATCCCAAACTAAAGGGAAGTTCCTGCACAGGAGGTGCGAGGAGGTGGCACAAGGACAAATTCTTGGCTTGTTTGATGACATGCCAGGCTGAGCACCACATGCTGGGATGGCAAGGCTGTATCCGTTGGAAGCACTTTCTGGGGCCAGGTTACAGTCAGGGGCACGTGCAAATGCTTTGCTCTAGTGTGCAAATACTTTGCTCAGTATTGCAGCCGCAGGGACCACAGCTGCCATGAGGACTGCATTCCTGGTGCTGCTCCTCTGGGCCGTAGCCTGCGCTCACCCCGTAAGTACCCACTGGACAGGTACTCAGCCCCAAACCCCGGCGGTCTCACCCAGCTGAGGCACGCCGATCACTGATCAGATGTCTCCTGGATGTGTTTAGGTGCCTGGCCGCGAGCTCGCCCGCCCCCGCCGCAGCACCCAGCAGAAGGTAAGCCGGGGGGTGGCCCAGTCCTGCGGGTGGCAGCCGCTTGCAGAGCAAGTCTGGGATGAGGAGCCAGCCCTGGGCAGGCACCATGGGGGAAGAGCTGCCACTTCTGTGGGTCTTTGACGTTTGTCTGTCTATCCATTCTTTTCAAGATGGGTTGGTATCACCTCACCTGAGCTTTGCCTTGCCTCCCTGTGCACATTCCAAATTCACCTAATGTGCTCTGCTGTGTTGGTCCTGAAAAGGAGTTGCTGTGCTATGAACCATCACAGTTTGCGCTTTCTGGGTTGCCTTTTTGTTGGTGGCTACACTTTTTTTTGCATCAGAAGAAACAGCTGAAGGGCTGAGGTGTGAGCGATGAAAAAGGCTTAAGCACTTGCGTGGCTTAGGAGCAATATATCATCCTGCAGCAGTAGCAGTAGCACTAAATGTGCAGTGGTGTTTAATAAACCAAAGCACTGTGTCATGTTTTGCCTCCAGGGTACAGCAAGTGAAGATTACATCAACAAGCTGGGCAACCTCCTGGGTGGTGGAGATGGCAGACATCCTTCTGCCAGTGCAGAAAGGGGGGACAATACACTTGCCGGGGACCTGCAGGGTGGGAACGCCGTGGGCGAGGAGCTGGCTGAGCGTGGTGGTGAAGACAAGGGAGGCAGAGTTGGGCAGGCTCAGCACCTGAACCGGGTGGACCACGAGGACACGAGTGCCTGGGATGGAAATGGCCTTGGTTTCCTGGTGAGTGTGCGGAGAGGGGTGTTTTTCTCTGCCAGGAAAGCACACTTAGCCCTAAATCTGGTGTTCAGAATAGCGCTTGGCCTGCCCAGCAAGCAGTGCCGATAGCGCCTGTGACCTGCAAGCCTTTGCATTCATCTCCGTTTGTCACCTCCATAGGAGGAGGATGCACGCGATGCTGATGATGGTGACAATGGAGAGCACTACGGCACTGGAGACATAGGGCTTCCCTCCCGCACTGGTGGGCTACTGGATGAGGAGGATGACAGTGGGGATGACACTTTTGACGAGAATGGGGAAGAGGAGGGGGGCGAAGGTCCTACTTATGTGGCTGGTGCCAATGGGGCAGGCAAACGTGGCCACGACGCTGGCCGTGGGGACGCAGGGGCTGTTGGAGGGCACGGCGACAGCAGCAGCAGTAGCAGCAGTGAGAGCGTTGGGGCAGACCACCGCCGGTACAGGAACTACCTTGGCAGCCGGTATGAGCGGACCTACAGGTGGGGAGGGGGCAGCCGCAGCCGCGGCTGGCTCCCACCCCGGGGAGGAGGGTGACAGCAGGTCCCCGGAGGTGGAGGATGCTGACGTGGGAGAAGACAGCCCATCCACGGAGGAAAACAGTCAGTTGGAAGAGCCTGTCACCAGCCAGTCAGAAGAAAACAGCGCCAGCCGCTCCGGGGAGGACAGGGATGGGGAGGACAGCCCCTCCATGGAGGGTGAGGGCAGCAAGTCCAGAGAGGAGACTGCTGACCGGTTGGACGAAGATCTGGGGGAGTCGCCGGAGGATATCTCCCAGGAGGCAGTAGGCACGTCAAGTGAGCGCAGCAGCAGATGGTCCCAGGAAGGGCAGGAAGACCGGGAGTCTGCTGAGGACAGGAGTGTGCCATCCACACCTGACAGTGAGTCCTGGGAAGACATGGGTGACCAGAGCAAGTCCAGGGAAGATGATGGCGACCAGATCCAGTCCACAGAGGACACTGTGGAGGAGTCAAAGGAGGACAAGAATGACTCCGGCCCTGATAGAGACATGCTGAGCACATCAGCTGAGAGCCAGAGTGCATCCCCGGAGGAAGATGGCAGCCAAGAGGACAATGCAGATGAGGACAGCAGGTCCACAGAGAGCAACAGCGAGTCCCAGGAGGATGATGACAATGATGATGAGGAGAGCCACTCCCAGGAGGATGCCACACGTGAGTCCAGCAGCCGTGGAGATGACAGCTCGCCACAGAGCCTGGAGAGTGGGAGTCGCAGACGACGGCTGGGTGCCTACCACAAGAAGCCTGCTGCCGACTATGATGACAACGACTGCCAGGACGGGTACTGACACATGCCCCACAGCCTCGTCAGTGCTGGGGGGGTGCGGGGGGAGGAGGGGTTTAATTTATTTGCAACATAGGCTGGTTGACATCTTCCTGGGAAGATGCTGTGGGTAAATGGAGGTGGGTTCGCCGGGGCTTGACCTGGGCGAAGTGGGAGGTGATGCTAGACACAGGGAACACACCAAACCGCAGTGAGAAAAGCCATTTCCTACACCAAACCAGAGAGCAGCTGAGCGCTGCGAGTGCCAGCAGGGTGATGCTGCCTGCTTGCCTTGAGGACACAGTGGCGGCTCGGCACTCCGGGAGCTGTGCCTGGGCACGGTGGGTAGAAAGGTCCCTGCGTTCACCCCTTGTATTTACCTACCACTGCCCTTAAAGCACCTGCCCAGACTCCAGCGGGAGCTTTCTGCTAAGTTCCACGTCCTGCACATAAGGAAGAAAAGCTACAGCTGGTGTGCACACGCGGTGCGTGGGCTCAGTGGAGCGTGAAGTACCACTTCAGGAAGGGATGTATGTAATATTTTGTAAGAAATGTACAGAAAACATTATATTGTATCCTTTTTGAACTTCTATTTCAAAGCTGAAATGTACCCTGTTAATTTCTTTAATAAACATTAAAACCATCAAACTCCACAGTGGTGCGGTTTGAAGTGCTGCTGTTTTTCTCTCCTGGGGGAGTCGGGTGCTGCAATTTGGGGTTGGACTGGAGGAAGCAGGGAGCAAAGAGCAGGCTGCTTGCACAGGTAGCCGCAGCATGTGGGGATAAGGGGGAAAGCAGAGGCTGAGGGGTGTTCCCACCCTCCTATTTTCAGGCATGGCAAGGGCCAGCCCTGCCCCTAGGTGACCCAGCAGTGCGGTGGAAGAGTTGGCCAATGACCCCAATGAGCTGGGCCTGGGGCTTTGCTATATAACGGCCATAACTTACTGCAGCGTGAGTAAGGGTTGTTCTGCTCTTCCTGAGGTGCTGGGAAGGAGATGACCCAGGGTATGGGGTCTCTCCTGGACCAGTGACTCTGGGTGCCCATGGTGGCCCCTGTTGCCAGGTCCCCTGCAGCAGACGCAGATGAGCAAGGGAAAGGAGGTTCTTGTGGGCTGGTAGATCATGGTGAAAGCCTCTTTTACTCAGTGTGCTTTTTTTTTTTTTATTTTCTTACACCAGCAAGCACGTAAACCACGCGTTATTTGTTTAAAAGCACATCCTGGCCCTTCTTACTTGTTCACGTGTGTATGACGAGCTGTACAGCACGGATATCAATGCTGATGGAGGAAGCCGTGGGCTGTTGCATGGCTGCACAGTTCTGCAGCATGGAGTTGTGGCTCTGCAGGGGACAGTCTCCAAGGGGTCAGCATGAGTGGGTGCATGCCTTTTCAGCTGCCTTGGGTCAGCAGTGTCGTTGCTGGGCATTGTGACACTGAGTTCAGGAACCAGTAGAGAAATGAAATAATTTTTTATGACTCATAGCAAAACTGCACTGAATTTGTTGACTTTTTCTGCCACTACAAAAAGCTAGGAGCTGAACAGCTGCTGGTTTTAGTGGCATTTATATTTAATTTCCACCCTGTGTAAGCTTTTTTTGCTTCTGTATGAGATTAGTTCTGAAATGTGCAGCTTCCCCGGGCTGCTGCCCTGGAACGAGCCTTTCTCCTGGCCCTGCCTTCTCTGACCCACTGATCCCCACTTCTCAGTGGATACCTTGGCTGCGACTTGCCCCTTATTTTTTGGATGCCTTGCATTAGCTGCGTAAGGAGTTGATAATGCTGTGACGATGATGATGCCTGTCAGGGTCACTGGTACTAAATGCTGGTGTACAGCCCCATCGCTGGGCAGAAAGACAGCAGGCATGGGTTTGGCTGCAGCCCAGAGGTACAAAAAGGACTGGATGACTGCCGTTGCTTTGGTTTAAAATTGTAGTAATGATGTGTTTGCTGGCTCCTCTGCGTGGGGGCGCAGGGTCGGGCCCTGCTGTGAGCTCTCCCGTGTCCGGCAAGTGGTGCTGCTGCTCTGGCAGCAGGGACGTTTCGGGTGCTGGCTCTGCCACGGGGCTGGGTCGCATCCCCGGGGATATCAGCAGCGGTGTTTGTGTGGGGACAGCTGGTGGGGATGGGGACCGGGAGGTTTTTTTCGACTCGCTCCAGGAAAGAGAGTGTCCTTGTGCAAGCGGTGTTGGGATGAGCGGCAGCACGGAACAGCTGGGGAGGGGGCTGCTCACCTTCACCCCCCTGCAAAGGGGATGGCGAGCAGTTGTCCTCCTCTTGTTCCATGCGCAGAGAGAAAAACTGGTTTGATTTGGCTTTTGTTTGAGCAGGGAGGGCGTGTGCCTTGCAAACAGGGCATGTGGCATGCTGCTGCACCCTGTGCTGGAGGGGTAGCCAGCTGCGCTCCCCCCGCACGTGAGTCCCCTTCACGTGCCTTCTCAGGGATTTGCTGCAGTTGCACGTGTGTCCCCGCCAGCAACACCCAAAATTTGCCTCCCGCTGGCTGCCTGCTCCCCAAAGGCCAGGGAGCCGGTGCCAGAGCTGGCTGCTGCCTGCTGGGATGGCTTCCCACAGGACCATCCCTCCCGGGCATCGTGGCAGGGGCGAAAATCAACCCTTTTCTGGGGAACCCTCCCACCTGGCTGCAGGGAGGGAGCTGCTCGTGGTGGCCCTGCGCAGGGACGTGCTCAACACCTGTCTGCGAGGACAGGCAGTGTTTTGGAGACGCTGGTAACACTGGGCTGTCCCCATCAAATGCTGTTCATCCGTGTGCGAGTGGGGCCATCCCACTTGCCATCTGGAGGGCCTTGGTGGCAGGCAACACTTCGTGGGGTGAAGTTTTGGATGGCCAGAGATAGAGTGGCCAAAAGATGCTTGCTTTGAGGATTTTAAGGCATTTTTGGCAGCAGCCCATGTGTTTGGTTTTTGCGGCATGTGCCTGTGCGTGGTCAGCATCTGAGGGGAGTGCTCCTGCTCTCTGCTGTTGGGCAGGCAGGAGAAGCAGGCTGGGAAGGTTGGCTGCAGGATCTGCCGTCACTGGAGGTGTTCCTGCATCCCGCTTCGGGTGCGATGAAGTTGTACTGATCAGCTTGCCCAGTGGGTTAGCCAAGGATAAAAAAAATGCCCACATCAATGTATGTACTTTTCTTATGCATCCACATGGCATTTTTGGTGTGTTGGGGGTGGCCTCTAGAGCTGAATGCAGTGATTTACCCAGGAATCAGCACTGGGGTTTAAAGCAGATATTTTTGGTCACATTCAGGTTTGTGAAAACATGAGTCTGCATCATCTTAAAAGAAAGGTTTCTGCTTGTTTGTTTTTTTGTCCTTTCCAAGAAGAAAAAAATCTATTTTTTAATAAGTAGCTGGTGTGGCCAAAGTGGTGGGAGGCAGCAGCAGCAAGCCCAGCTGCAACAGCTGGATTTGGGGTGGCAACAGCACACAAGATGTATTTATTCAACCCCCTTATTTTTCTGGCTTTGGCTGGAGAAATGGAGAGACCCTCATGACCAGCAGAGCATCTCTCCATCCAGCAGCGGCCTTTTTGGCAGCGCAGCCAAGCGCCCTGGGCTTCCCATGGCAGGCTGAGCACTGCAGCTGGCTGCAGGGCTTCCCCTTGGCCCCTGTATGTCTTTAGCAAAATGGGAATATCTGTGGAAGAAACAATCACATGGGATTGTCTCTTCTGTGCCCCCTGTGATGGATTTCTGTGATAGGAACCACTCCTTGCTAAGCGTGCGGTGAGGCTGGGAGAGTTTGATTGCGTTTCTCTGCCCTTTTCAACCTGGAGGAAAAACCTCTGACAGAATCACCGCTGCCGTCAATCTGAACAAAAGAAATGTCTCAGCCGTGGGAAAACAGCCTCTGACCTCAGTGAAACCCCAGAATATTACAAACCTTTCAAATGCGCTAAGGATATTTTTCCTGCAACTCCCTTTACTGCTATACACTTCAGCGACAAGTAACTTTCCCCCTTCCAGCTCAGCCGTGTCCTGGGAGTTTTGTGGTTCCCCCCAGCACTGCCCCAAGGAATCGGGCACCACAAGATGGCACGTAAAGTGCAGACATCCACCTGTACTGCATCCCCTGAACTCCCTATGGGGACCTGAAAGCTGCAGAGTGAGCAAGTGGTTTGCAATTCAGGTTTCTCTGTTTTTGCACCCTGAAATGCAAAGCTGCAAAGAGCTGGTGTTTTGTTTTAGCAGAGGGCATCAGGTTTCTGAAAAGAGGAGCTGAACCTGCAACTGGGGAGCAGAGGCAGCACCTGCCCTTTCCCTTCCCAGACCTGATGCTGTTTCACATACAGAGAAAAAAAGTAGGTTCATTATAGCATGAAAACTTTCAAAACCTTCTTTTTTGAAAAGAAAATGAGTGCCTGAGTATTAAATGCTTATTGCAACAGACGTGTTTGTGTATATATGGATACATATACACATGTTGTGCAACTCGTGTATGTACACGATAACACCCAGTCCAAGCGCAGCAGTTCCCTGCTGACACATGCAGCACTGCCTTTGCTGCAAATGGCAACTTTTTAAGCTCCAGCACAGGGTTTTTTGCAGGTTTGACAAGGCCTGCAGTGGCGGGGGGGGGGGCAGCCAGCACCAGCACAGCGTGGGGAGCAATGAACCTCTACGCCATCCAGATGTGTGACATCTTTGTCAGATGTCCAGGGATACTGATTTGACTTTGGTAGAGAGCCCAGATCCTGAGCTGAGTGTACAGTTTGTCGGTGGGTACCACTGCGATGAACCTGGGCTCTCTGCCTCCTCTCCTGCCAAATATCAGGCCTTTTTTGGGGTTGGTTTGTTTTTTCACTGCTGTTTCTGTCATATGGCTGTGTTTGAGGGCTCTCACACGTGGAGGGAGGCAGCAGACTGGTGGTAGGACCAGTCCTGATAACTTTTTCTAGCTGGTGCGCAGTTTCTTCCTCCTGAAAAAAAAAAATTAAACAAGCCAAAAAAGCAGAGGAAACATGATATACAGAAACTGCTCAAACTCGTGAGCACCAGGGTGGTGGCGAGTGCTAAGTTTTGTGATAATGCTGTGGCCTTGCCTCAGTGATTTGTTGCGTTGCTGTTCGCCAGAGCTCAGGCTGCCTCAAAGTGCTCACTTTACAGAGCTATTTGCACCCCGATATTTTTCAGGCATGTGAATAGAATTAATTTCCTGTATCTGGTTTCCTGCCTCAGAAAAAAAAGTAAAATCGTATGAAATGTTTAGTTGAGAGGGCCAATATATAAAGGTTATGTACTGATAACTGAGATTGATATGTGGTACATTTTAGGTATTCTCCGGTCCTGCTTTTATTCTAAAATTGATTGCTTGCAAAAATATAACAAGCCACATGCCCAGCTGATATTGGTTTGCATTTGGGTTTGTGCCATGAGAGGTAAGGGGGATGAGAGAGGGATCCATTATTCTTATGCTGTTGCTGGTGCACTCTCTCCATGCTCATCACTTCACTCCCCAGTTCATCGCCATGGCACACACGCGCCTGTCCCTGGCAGCACGTGGGGAGAGGTGGGAGCCGGGGTAACCTCTGCCTCCAGTGCCCCTCACGCACATTTCGCAGGTGCCCTGGCCACTGTACTGCATGGCAAGGGTGCTCTTTTCTCTGGCTGCAGCAGCACCTTGGCCTCTCCCCACCATGCTTAAAGTGTCCTTCTGGTTTTGTTTTCTTTACTTATTTTCGGCCCTGAGGTTTCCTTCCAGAATAGCTCCAGGGAGTGGAAATAGGACAGTGCAGCCTCAGCCCCGTGGTGGACCCGAGCAGGACCGGAGCACGCTGCTCTGCTCATTTACCGCACTGCAAAAATAATAATTAAATTCGGACATAGGAGCCATGTCAGCCTGCACCAGTCAGGGACGCTCTGACCATGAGGTCTCCATGGGCTCGGGCAGTTACACCAAGACCGAACGTAGTGCCCTTGCCAGGCCATGCCAGGTGCAAGCCCACCCAGTTGCAGCACAAAGCAGGTGCCAGCAGCTTGTGCAAACCCCATCAGCGCAGGGTCACGGAACCGACGGCGGGGCTTGGGAGCAGCAGCAGCTGCCTGGGGGTTTGTCATCATCTGCGGTGCGAGGGTAGTGATGTGCCCAGGCAGGGCTTGGGGAGCAGGCTGCCTGCCTAACCCCCAGCTCACTCACCAGAGCCTGTGATGAGCAACATGGCAGTGTACTTGTGCGTGTTAAAAAACTGACGGGAGCGCAGAAGGGAAACCATTGCATTTGCACATGTGGGCTGCAGGCTGCACGCTTGCCTCATCGTCTCAATGTGCTCCCAAAATATGGGTTTTTGCTCCTGTCACCTCTTGACACATCCCCCAGAGGCAGGCGAGCTGTTCTGTGTCTTGTTTCCAGTTGTTCATCTACAAAGGGGAGATTATTTTCATGAAGTTTTCAGATCCTATCACTTTTAATAACAGAAACCAAATGCTGCTTCTGGGCAAAGGAATGACCTCTCCAAGCCCTGCTGCCTTGCAGAGCCGCAGCTCTTGCAAAAGCATGAAGAGACTAATGCTCCAACCCTGAGATGTGATGCTTTTTTAAATTTATTTTTTTAATTATTATTTTAAATGGAAGCATTTTGGATGTGTTTAGCCGACTTCCCTGCTGGTATCCCTGCATGGCGCTGTGAGGTTGCCGCTGCCGGCGGCCTGTCCAGGCAACTCCCTGTCCGAGGAGTTAAACATAGGTGCTGGCCGCACGAGGCACTTCGGTACATGTTAATTATCCTGGTGCTTTTTAGGGATCTTGGGTGAAATACGTGTTTTTATAGTCAGTTTTCTTTTTTTAAGCAGCCTGGAGTACCAGCCCTTTAATTACACCAAAAAATGCCCCCCACCAGCCCTCTCTGTTCACCAGCCCTGACGAAATTCAAGCTCAAAGCTCGGCGTGTGCTCGCAGCTCTCCCGCACAGGGCAGCCTGTGGCAGCATGGGGCAGCTGGCGGTGCCTGGGTCCCTCTCAGTGCTGGTGTCTCTTGTTACTGGAGGCTGCTGCGTTGGCATCGGAAAACTGCGTTGGCTTCTTTTCCTTTTTTATTTTCTTTTTTTTTTTGTGTGTGTGTGCGTGGGTTTTCCTGGTGCGAGGTGCCAGCTGAAAGCCACGGCCAGCTCCAGGCCTCCCTTGTAATTACGGCTCCTCGCAGTGACACAACGGCCTTTGAAGCCCACGGGGCAGGCAGAGCTGCGCCCTGTGCCCCCGGGCTTTGCACGCTGGGCACGCCGCCTGGCTTGCTGCCGGACCCCCGGGGGGCTGCAGGGGACCTCTGCCTCCCCAAAAGCAGGTGATGTGCATGGCATTTCATCAGCAGTTAGCAACTCCCCACAACCTACCTGTTGATGTGGCAATGAGCAAGGAGGCAAAATAAAAATAAAAAATAATAAGAAGCTTTGTTTTTCTGGTCCTAACCTGGAAATTTGGTTAACTGGAAATCTTTTGCTTCCCAAACAAATTCAGATTCAAACTGAGCTCCCCTGGATGGGGGTGAGGCTTTTGGTGAGTGCAGCCCCCAGTTTTGAGCAGAAACATGAGCATTCAGGTCTTCCACTGCAAAGTAGGTTTTTCTGCCCTAAATAACTATAGTTCTATCGCTGGCTAACCTGCGCATCGCCGACCTGCATGAAGGCATGCATTTTCCAGCCCCGCTGTTCCATCTCTGAGGGTTGTAAGGCTGATGGCATCAGCTGGGATTTGCGATTCTCATTGCCACTGTGGAAAGCAAAGCCACATTCAGCGAGGAGTCGTCCCCTTGAGCTGCTGCAGCCCTGGTGCCTGCAGGAGCAGCAAGGGGCCTTTGCTAGTCGATGCAAGAAAAATCTGGGAAAGAAGGAGCAGAGGTGCACTAGAGAGCTGGGTGACTGAAATCCCAGCAGGGAATGATAAATACAGGGAAAGGAGAAAGGATGTCCCTGCAGAGGTGGGTGCAGGGGGGCAGCTGCAGTC